TATAATATTTCTAGATTGTACACACTCTCGTAGGCAAATGGAAAATAATTTAACAGTGGTAGAGCCCGCTTTAACATCTTCGCACGAATTGGCCCGGCTCGCCCGGTGAAATACTACGACCACATAGAAGATGGGCGTGAAGTGGAAGCTATTTCGAGTTTCGTCTGATGAGTGTGCGTCCCGGAGGCCTAATTTAGTGCTATTTCCCTTCCCACCCTTTTTCTTATAAGGAAAGGATGGGAAGTGGAAGTGGACTTTCCGGATTAGAGGATGCATAGGAAGGGAAAATATTTTCTTTCTGTGCATCCACTCCTCCGTCGATTAAAGGTAGGCAACGCATATGCAATTCCGTATGCCTATGGGCAACGGTTAATTCACTATTTTAGCGATTTCAGATGGCCTTACGCTCGTTTGCCACCTTATGATATAAATAAAAAATATTTCAAAAATTTCCTGTAATGTTATAGAAGAAATTAGAGATAAGTGATAATTTTATCAAACGGTAAAGTTTAGTAAAGATATAGATTATGAAAGATCTACATCTTTATCTTTGGAGTCGCCTTTATTTAGAGTATGTTAAAACTGTTGAAATGGACAAAAACATATTTTACTATATTAACGTGATTCTGTTTTATTCAAAAATAACTAATAGTTTAATCTAAAGCTTAGCAGTTGATACCTCATTAACACGTCGCTCAATCTGACGTAATTGCCGCAAAGTTTCAATTCTAACAGAGTGCCTAACTAGGGCTGCAACCTCTTCGGCTTTGATTCGAATTCTTCGAGATTTCATATTGCATTGCGGTTACGGGTTTTAAAATATTTAAGATGCCGTTCGTCCGCTAAGGATCAAGAGTGGACGTTGCTTTGTTTTTTAATAGTTGCCAGTGTTTTTTTGAAAGTTGTCAGCCCTACTACTCTCGTGTTTGTAGGCCGTTCCTATACAACTTGTTTAAATGTCGGTGACGTTCTAGTTTCGATCTTTGTAGGCTTTGCAATCATGTGCTATATGGTTTGTTAGGAAGAAAAGATACGTAGATATATAAATAGTAGGGTTGCCATTGCAGATATTTCAATTAAATTAAAAGATAAGGTTTTTGAATGAATCCAAAAAAATTTGACACACCTATCCTTTTATTGAAATTTTATTTAATTTCTTGTATGGCCATTATTTTGAAATAGGGCTGTATTGTTAGAGTTTCATCGTTAGCTCACTATACGTCCCCACTGAGGGGCTCGGATTCTACACTAAGTTAGGAGTGACTAGGACATAGTCAATCACGCTGACCCAGTGCGGGTTGGTTGACATCACACATATCTTTGAATTTCTTCTGATGTACTTAGTGTAAGGTACCTTTGTCGCCGGGATTACGAATCGCTATATTGGGGAACTGATTACGTAACCGCAATGGTAATCTGTTTCTTTACAGTATTTTCTGAACTGTTTGTACTTTGGCTACTTTAGGATATATCAAGATATGTAGGCTGCGATCAGATAATGTTGTCAGTGACAAGTGATATGTTATCAAATTTCGTCGAAGTAGTTGTTACACTTGTTTTGTATTGATATAAATCCCTTATCTGTTCTTTTTTATCGTTTTTTATGTTTTCTTATACGTTGCCCTTTATGCTCACCTTTAGAATACCGCTCTATTTTATTTTTAACTCTTTAATTGTCATATTTTCAATATGTCATGTCAATATTTCTTCTTGAACCTCGCAGTAAAATGACATAACCTCATCGAGTTTGTTTATTGAAGCGTCTTGATGAGTAGTTTGTCTTTTATTTTTAATTTTTTAAGTAACATGAATTATAAAAGTTTTTTTCTTTTAATAATAACTAGTTATAATAATAAAGATACTTGACCTAAATGTCGTACTGTATGGCACATATCCCTTAGCGAAGGTATCCGTGTCCGTTGTCGACCGGTTTGCTTGTGCAGCGTGGTTTTACACGATGACAGAATAGTGAGACATTTCAGTACTGTTGTCTGAACGTCTACGCCGAAACATAACACAGGCCCTAGGACGAATATTCGTGTGAAAACTTTCGTAACGTCATCGGCAAAATTTGTATTGTGTAACGCCCCTACCGGGCGTAAAGTTTAGCCACATATCTCATGCAAATGTTAACCTTTTTAAATATTAGTAGATTATTTGTTAATTTACCTAATTTCTTATACCATGCCAACTAAGCTGTATGCTTATGATAGGACATTGTTTACGACAATAGTCTAATGGCGGGTTTCAAACTCCTGACCACGTGATCGGAAATCTACACCCTTAACCATTAGGCATGATTCATTTTGACGATGACGTTAAGAAAGCGCGTGTCGCAAAAATTCTTGTTAATGTTTTAAATTCTTGTTAAAATAAATAAAATGTTAACACAGTAAGTAAACGTTCAAATAGCTATACTGCTCTGTATACTGTTCTACCGCTGTACTGCCCTCGTGTGAAAGTGTAACGCTCCACTGACGCACTTGCTATCGTAGATTATCTCGGCTACCACCGGATAGGGGATATCGATAATAGCCTTCAATGTAATTACGATATAATTATAAAACTACTGTGTTGGAACTATGATAGTGTTATCTTAATTTAAACTAGGTGTCATCCGCACTGTTCAGATCTATATATATCTTTGAAACTTACTGTTTTTTTTAATTTCATTCATCAACTTAACCATTCTTGTGGTTGGCAAAGTCATTTGAACACATATCCGCGTCTATTTATATGACGGTGTCTTATTTCTCATCATATTTCAAATATAACGTTGGTTAACAACAATAGGTTTATATATAGACTAGCTGTCGCCCACGACTTCGTCCGCGCAAAAAAAAGCTTAACTAGTGTGTGTTCATTCTACATCTATGCCAAATTTCAGCGAAATCCATGCAGCCGTTATAGAGATATCTTCTAACAAACATACATCCATCCAATCATTTGTATATATATATACAAATGATTAGTAAGAAAACATAAAAATATATAAGTAGCACAACAAAGAATATGGGTATTTAATTATGTGGGTAAAAATTTTCGCGTGTTTAAGACAATTTTCTAGTCCCAATGCCTGTTTTTTGGGGATTGAAGGGAGTTGCCGTTCGATTTTTTTTCTGCACGGAATTTCAGTATTTTTTTTAATAATCACCCAACCACAAACAGTTGCAGTTTTCTCTACTAATATTCAACTTTAATTATCTAAAATATATTTTTATTTTATCTCGTTTGTTTGACTTTAGTAGCCTTTTGTTTACAGCAAATGTGACGTAGTTAATGTTTGAATAAGGTAGCTAAAATGTGATAGTATTAACGATTTGCGTTTATCAAGCACAGGTGTGGACATGACGCATTATGTGATGCACGTGTACTGCGTTTATGTTCTCATAATATTAAAAAACTACAATCGTACATTTTATTAATGAATTCTTAAAGAATATACATAGCCTAGTTTTTGAAGTAAAGGTAAATTCGTGTTAATAAAAGAAAGTCATAATTATATTGTTTTAACATCGTGATTCAACCTGCACATATCTGAGAAGAAATTCAAAGATATGTGTGAAGTCAACCAACCTGCACTGGGCCAGCCTGGTTGACTATGCCTAGTCACCCCTAACTTAGGGTAGGCTCCGAGCCTCTCGGTGGGGACGTACAGTGAGCTGATGATGATGAACATTGTTTTCAAGACTAAAAGAAGAATATTTAGTCGATTTTCAATCTAATTTCTTACTAATATTATAAATGCGAATGTTTAGATCGATGGATGGACGTTTGTTTGAAGATATCTGCAGAACGGCTGAATGGATCTTGCTGAAAGACATAGATGTAGAACATTGTCTGGAAGAACACATAGACTTATAATTGTTTTTATTATTCCGTGTGGATGGAGTCGTGGTCGATTTTTTAATGATCCTAAAGAATATATATTTTTCTGATTTTCAACAAAATTGTTATTGAAAAAAAGGGTCTTGACAGACCGACGGACAGACAATGAAGTGATCCTATAAGGGTTCCGTTTTTTCCTATGAGGTACGGAACCCTAAAAAAGTAATTCATACATTTGTTAGACGAGCCGTTCTATTAGTTTACTAAGTCTATACGCACATATTTTTTACGAATATCAAACGTGTCTAGCAACTATTTGCCGCTGTCATATCTAATTTGCAGACTGCTAAACATTTTTTATTTACTTCCACATATTCTCGACTATGTAATTTAATAATTGCGAACACTCGACTACAATCTTTACATTACTTTGCTGATTTCAACGAAATATTAGTATACTATAAATAACGGTGTAAAGACGTAATATAAATCAGTTATATATTGCTCTAGTTTTGTGATTTGTCAGTGTTTATGTTCACGTAATACAAAATGGACAATTTACATGTAATCTACCGAAAGTAAGTGCCATTAGTTTGTAAGTTTTTTTTATTTATTATATTTATTATTCATTTGTTTATTGTTTTGTCCGTCACTGATTGACCGTGAACGTATTATGTGATGTGCAGTAGATTGTAATTAAGAAAATAGTATTTAAAATAATAGTAGGGACTGTTGTAAACTATCGGTTATTTAAATCAGATTTTGTAATTATAATTCAAAAGGTGTCGCCCGCGATTCCGTTCGCGCGGAATTAAATGAAATAAAAATTAAACTTAATGAGTACCCTATGGGTTCTTCCAGACTTTTCTGCATGTACCAAATTTTATCTAGCTTGTTAAGCCGTTCCGGAGATTCAATACAAACATCCATCTATCCATCTAAACATTCGCATTTATAATATTAGAATTAATCAATGATTTAACATACTATAATATTTTTAGTTTAGCAGATAGACTAGTAAAGTAAAACACTGCAGCAACGTATTTTTATCTTTTACACGCTTTTCGGCAATGAAATATCTCGCTTAGACATATCGTGGCAACAAATTGAGGTCGAATTGATCAGATCGATGCGTTTATCCGATATTAAAAAATGCGTGTTATTCTTTCCAGACGTCGCATGCAGCAACTGAAACTATGGCAACAGAGAGAGAAAGAGTGGGCACGATCAAGACCGAAGAGAGAGAAGAGTAATAAACGCAACATTTTTTTCAACGATAGTGTTATGTTGCTGGAAGCAGCAGCAAGGAATGATATTGATGAAGGTAATTTTTTGTATTATACTTCGTTTGAACTTAGATTTAACCGGAACTCGTTTGAATTTTTTTCTTTGTAAAAAATGGCTGCATTTGAATTTGGAATTTATTTTATTTAAATTGAACTGCTTGTTTGCAGCCTATTTACTGAATATAAGTTATGCTGATCTTAAGAATTCCATCATGTATTTAAATATCGATTGCTGGTTATATACTAAACATATGTATTGATGATCTAAGTGTAAGGCTGTATTCTCATTAGATGCTTCTCTGTTTATCTCAAATACATTTTTCTCTCATACATTTACCATGCGACAGGCATAATTAAATGAATAAGTCATCATCATCAGCTCACTATACGTCCCCACCGAGGGGCTCGGAGCCTACCCTAAGCTAAGGGTGATTAGGCCATAGTCAACCATGCTAACCAAGTGCGAGTTGGTTGACTTCACACATCTTTGAATTTCTTCTCAGATATGTGTAGGTTGCATCACGATGTTTTCCTTCACTGTAAGAACGTCGGATAAATGTAAATATGTAAATCGGATATCAAAAAACACATTAGTATATGGCGTGATTGGAACCCAGGACCTGCAGATTGCAAGTCAAGTGCTTGACCACTGAGCCACCGACGTACAAATTAATAAGTAAATTGAGGTTATTCGCTTTGCAATTAATATACAACAGTCTACAGCCTAATTATATTTTATGAGAAAATCGATTTAAATGATTGTCTTTACTAAATGAGAACACAGCCTTAGCCTCATATGCACACATACTGATACATTTGAGTCATGAACATGAATTGAGACCTAAATAAAACGATGTCTAGCCGTGTGGAAATAAAAGCAAAAGTGTTTTACTGTTATTTCGGCGCGGCTGTTGTGAGTGCTATGTCCTTACACGACGAGGTCGTGTCACACATTCGTTCATTGTAAAAAAAAGGTATATTAATTTATAACAATGTTATAAATATTTCACGTGCTATAGTTTATTTTGAATGCAATTTTAGCATTTACAGTTGGCTTCTAAGACCAAAATATCTATATAAAACATATATCATTATTATCTTCGATAAAACAGACAAGACAATATGTTTTAAACGGAGATTTTGGCCTCAGAAAGCCACTGTTAACTATCTAGCACTAGCTTGGCTTAATTATTAAGATTTTCTTATATGCATAGAAGACAATTATTAGTAGTTAGTAGTTTTACAATAATTAGTATTCAAATTGATTCCATTTAACATTGGTAATTAATAATATTTCTGAGCAAATTAATGAAGCTAAAATGAGTATTAATATCGAATCGATAACTAGGTCATTAAAAATATAATTTAAAGAGCTATGAAGTGTTACAGAATGGACATAAAATTAAAACATCGCGAACACGTCCGTAAACATTCAGCTAATTAATAATTAATTTGACTAAAACCAAGTTCAAATATTTCGACCTAACCCTAATTTTATGCTTTCTATTCTATGAATTTCTCTAGCGCCACCGATAGCGATGTCGAAACTTATCAATCAATCCGATCTTTTTAATTTCACAATGTCAAACTGACCGGAATAAAGTTTTATGCTAATTTATCGCATGAATTCGTTACAGTGAGAAGATTGTTGGCAAGAGGTGTAACTCCTGATGCTACAAACGAAGATGGATTAACAGCATTACATCAATGTTGTATAGATAATAACGAAGCCATGATGCGACTCTTACTAGATCATGGAGCAAATGTCAATGCTGAAGACAGCGAAAAATGGACACCTTTACACGCTGCAGCTACCTGTGGTAACCTCAACCTTGTTAGGATATTAATACAAAGAGGGGCGAATTTATTAGCTGTTAATGGAGACGGGAATATGCCATATGATATTTGTGAAGAAGAAAGAACTCTGGATGCGATAGAAAGTGAAATGGCGGCTAGAGGAGTTACTCAAAGGTTGATAGATGAAACACGAGCGGCGACAGAGATGAAAATGTTGATGGATGTTGCTGATCTAGTCAAAGATGGATTGGATTTAGATGAACCTAGAGATAATCAAGGTGCTACTTTGGTAAGTAACAAGTACAATTAATCTCAATCAGCTCACTAAAAGTTGGGAACATAGGGGTTCGGAGCCTACCCTACATTAGGAGTGACTAAGCCATAGTCAACCACGCTGGCCCAGTGCGGTTGGGTTGACTTCACACATAATTTGAAATTTCTTCTTAGATATGTGCAGGTTGCATCACGATGTTTTCCTTCAACGTCTGATAAACGGATAAATATACATATATCGAACATCTAATTGGCACATGCCGCGATTCGAACCTAGGAACTGCAGATTACAAATCAAGTGTTTACCTGATCCACCGTCGCTCGAGGATACAGTCAAAATTAAATTATATTTTCAGTCGTAAAGTTGTTTTTACTTTTGATGCATTATGTTATTTATTTAAAGAACCAACTCTAATTATTAAAGAAATAGCTTTTTTACTCGTCTTGATTTCGACTAAATGTCATTAGTTGCGTACGTTAATTAGGTTAACTAATACGCGTATTAAAAAGTAATTTATTTTCATTTAATAGTTATCAGAGTTTAATATCGATATTAAGCCGAATCTATGAGATTAGAGTAATAGATTATTTTAGTTAGTATGTATTTTTTATTAATCACAATAACTATAACTATAATATTTCCGTGTTAAATTATTTTTGGCTTGATAAAGTTAATAGTGTTAACCTTTGGACAACCACATATTGATTTTGACCCTTTACCTCAATGGCTTCGAAAATTCCAATGACAAATTTGTTTCATATTATTTCTTGTTTTTTTTTTAAATTCATATTGATATGTTGGAATATTCCGTAAATAATGCTGTATAAGTTACTTTAACGATTGTAATCACGTGCAAAAGAAATATGATGCGTTGGGTAACCTTTTCAATAAACTTTAATAAACAGCAACCTTCGTTCAACGATGTATTTACGCATTTGATCGTGTAATAAACAACATGTTTATAAAATGTATAATTAGGGAGTTTCTGAACCGTCCTTTTATTTGTTATATAGGGGGTTAAAATTAAAACAATAGAATACGTATGATGTTTTTATTAATTACTAAATTTTCTTTTTAAATACTGCTGGTTTAACGCACACAAAAATATCCAAAAAAAATATTTCCTTTAATTTCTTTTACAAGTAATACTGTAACTTACACATTAAATATATGTTATAAATTAAAAAAAAACATGCTTGCAAATACTATGTTCTAGAACAAAAAAAAACAAAGAGTACAGTGTTGCCAACTTAATATTTATTTATTTATTTATATGTAAAAATTATTTCTCAAAAGAGATATTACATTAATATATTTTAACAATAAATATCGTTAGTTTTACTACAAAATAAACTTGATAAACATTTTTTTTTTAGATTTATCACACACGATAGTTGTTTGTTGCAGTTGCACATAGCGTCTGCGAACGGTTACCTGAAGGTGGTGGAGTTCCTGCTGGAGCATCGCGCCAGCACCGACGTGGTGGACCACGACATGTGGCAGCCGGTGCACGCCGCCGCCTGCTGGGGACATGTGGGTACTTTGTAAATATAACTTGGCGTTTAAAAGGTAAAGAGTATGAACTGTGAAACATAAGAAAGGACACCAGATGAACAATATTATTAGTTATTTCTATAATATATACGATACAAAAATTGTAATATATAAAAAAAACTGAGATTATATATTTTCGTAAATTAAATTTTTTTTAAATCTTGCGAATATAAGTCTTGCGAGTAAAAGATTACAACTTCATATTGAATCTAAAATAATGACGACCTCACACGAACGGAATTTGGGACTTAATATCACGACTGCCCTGAGACAAGCCGAAGACAGGACGGCGTGGAGGCAGCTGGTCGACACGGCCGTTGAAGCGTATCAGGACAAGCACGACCTTCAGTAATGAAGAATACGAAGAAGAAGATATTATACAGTGTAATTTGAGTTTATGTAACATTTGTTGCAGTTAGAAGTATTAGAACTACTGGTGCAGTACGGAGCTGACCTCAACGTTAGGAACAAGCACGACGAGACGCCCGCCGGTTAGTTAATACACAATCCATAATACTAGGTCACTAAGGTCGACACTAAGTGTAGTATTCCAATACGAATTATACTTATAGGGACCGTTTGGCAAGACTTGAAGACTAAATTACTTGTAATATATAAATAGTAGATGCCCTCGCTTTACCGTTGGTTACTGAGACCAAATTTTCTTTATAAAATATGTCGTTATTCTTTTTTATAATGACAGAGATTTTAGACGAGGATTTTAGTCTCAGAAACTCACGGTTAGTCCGTGCGGAATTTCAATAATCTAATAATAAATATAAGTTATGTCACCCGCGTATAGTGTTGGTTCATAACAGTAAAAGAATTTTTTAAATCGGTTCAATAGTTTCGGAGCCTATTCAATTCAAACTAACAAATTTTTTTATTTTGTCAGTATAAAGTTGACAATTTAAAGGTATTTTTGCATTTATCAATAATGTCCTGCTATTGTTTTTTCTGTGTGTAATAAACTATGCATGTAGATATATGCGAGGAGGGCGAGATCCGCACACGCATCGCGCGGCTTGCGGCCGAGCAGGAGGAGATCAGGCGACGCGCCGCGCACTCCGCCGGCGAGAGACTGCGCACCGCTCGCCGCTCCTCCTCCACAGCCAGCACCAGCAGGTCACTGCATCTTCTGCGCCCCCTACACCATACAAACATACACATACAACATAGCCCGCCAATTAAGTATCTCGCCGATACCACTCCCAGAGTACACTAGCGACATAAAAGGGGTTGCTGGGTTACTTCGTGAGTGGGATTGACTGGAATAATCTATGACCTGCCTTCAATCAAAATAAGCGCCAGACCTGTAGTTGCGAAAACCGTAGCTCCTAGTACTATTAGTTAGTAATAGTGGGTTTCTGAGCCCGAAATCTGCGTTTAAAAGATATTGTTATCTCTTTTTGTTAAATCAATCAAATTAAATCATTACAGGGATGATGGATATGTTTTATACATAGATTTTGGTCTCAGAAACCAACGATTACACATACATAAAATCCAGAAATAATAACATCGAAAAAGGCAAATTTAAACCACCTTTCCAACTAGCACGTCTAGCTGACATTCCCGGAATAAATTTAAGTGAGACGCGGCCGTAGTTGTTATATATTTTTTTTACATTTTTCAATCGTATTTTTGTACCGTCTTATAGCAACTTCGTCTTTACATTCGACATATTTGTAACCCAATAGCTTAAACGGTTAGACGGTTGATGTGTCAATGCATTTTTAAGGCTGTTTTTTCTATTTCTAAACGTTTTTGTTGACAGAGTACGGTCAGTACGGCGGACGTCATTGCGAGAGAAGCAAATGGCGGCTAAAGCGGACGCCAGAGGTGAAGCGAGACTCCGGGAGACATTTGACTCCGCTGCTGATGATGAGCTGCAGGTCAGGATGCATGACACTATAATCGTATCATTTAAAATCAACATTAAAGTATTACCCCAAAATATAATAAAACATTCAGGTTAACACATGTTTTAACCCTTTCAACGCCGGTGAAGGATATTACGGACGTCAAAGTAGTTATGTGTTTTACCATAAATACGCATCAACACTTTTCTTTTGTTATAAATACTTCATTATTTTCTTGTCAATACCTCATCTCGCAAGCTTATAATAGTGTTTTCAATAGCCGTGGTTTGCCAAAAATCCATAGGTAATTTTATATATTAAGCTCTTAATTATTCTATCCAACATCTACATTCTAGTTAAAATAAATCATAGGAAACATTTTAAGAATTATAATTTTAAAATATAAAATAGTTCCCTCTAGTGGTTCAAAGAAGAAACTGCATTGAATTTATACAATACGTAGTGTAGCTATACTCCGATAGATGTCTCTGAATAATAAAACGGTCGATTTATTTCAAATAAGCTGTTACCCGCGGCTCCGTACGTGTAGAATTAAAAAATATATTAGCCTATGTGTTCTTCAAGACTATGTTCTATATGTATGCCAAATTTCATCGAGAGCCGTTCTGGAGATACCTTCAAACATCCATCCATTTTAACTTTCGCATTTATAATATTACTACGATAGTTCTGTGCTAAAGGGCTTAAGTATAATGACGTGTTTAGGAACACGCCAAGCAGTTTAAATATTTTTTTAAGTACTGCCATCACTTAAACCACTAACAAACGAATGTGATATTAATTTAAGTCTTATGTAATTGGTTTTTGTTTTAAATTATAATAAAGAATATCCCGCACCCCAGGTCCCTGACCTTGAATATGTTAGGGGAATGAGAGGGCGGCATGGCGCCGCCCAATAAAAAAAACTTAAACCACAGTTGAAAACATGTTTTCTGTGAATGTTTCGGCAGTGGGAACATATTGCGATAAAACATGTGCGTGAAGAATAATTGCATGTAATTTTACATTCATATATCATATCGCTCCGACTGCTTTGGAATTTGATGCAAATAGCGCTTTCCACTTTCATGAGGGGATCGTAATATAGAATAAATAAAACATCAGTCTGTCTGTTACACTCGTAGTTCGCTTGTCTTGAAAGGGAAACCTCATATCATGTTTAATTGGAAACGGAATTTGAAATCTAAAGCAAATCTAGAAATCGTTATTACGAATATTATAATTAATTAATTGTAATTAACAACACTTCAATGTTTTGCAAAATAAACTACAGATGTTTGTAAATCATAAACTTTTTAGGCCATAATATTTATCTAGACAAGATCTACACAACAAATTTCTTTACGTCAAAAAGATAGCAGTTTGAATTTTTGAAACCATATAAGGGAACGTGCCCATACTACGTGATCCGTTTAGGGGGGGGGGGTCCTGAAAATACTACGGTCAGTTACAAGGGGGGGGGGTGGCTCAGATTTTTGTCACGTAGTCGTTAGTTGTTATTTTTCATAATACGTAATTAACTAGTAATTTAAGTATACATGCAGTCTTATGCTGTAAAGAAGAGTGTGAGCCAGCTTTTTTTTTCAATTTTTGCCTGTGAAATGATTAAAAATCATAATCATGAATTACTACGTTAAAACTAAAGGGGGGTCTTGGCATACTATGAGTGGTCACCGAGGGGTGGGAGGGGTCGAAAAATCTAAAAAAAAATTGTCACGTAGTATGGGTATGTTCCCTAAGGAAACCTTTTAAACCTACTATTTTTCAAATAATCCTTTTTACGCGGGTTTCTGAAGCCAAATTCACGTTGAAAACATATTGTTATCTCACATTTTGTTAAAGATAATAAAAGGGAGATATAATACAGAGATTGTGGTCTCAGAAATCAACGGTTAATCTCCTTGTCAGATATTTCATCCAACTTTTTATCTATTTTCATTTACTCCACGCAATAGAATCATTCGCCTTTCGTAATTTCTTGTTAACGCATCGCTCAGCTATAATAATAACGTATGTTATGAAAGTTTATTACGCGGATGAATTTTTAGGTTATCTTTAAGATTTAATTATATCCTATTACGCAAAATTTATTGAATGCGTTAACATTTTAGCGAAATAGATACTTTTTTAAATAGTCTATGCTTACATCTTACTAATATTATAAATGCGAATGTTTAGATGGATGGATAGATGTTTGTTTGAAGATATCTCCGGAACGGCTCAACGGATTTTGATGACATTTGGCATAGATGTAGAACATAGTTTGGAAGAACACATGAAGACTTATTGTTGTTTTTTTTTTAATTTCCCGCGGACGGAATCGCGGGCGAGAGCTAACTTTGAATGAATGAAAAATTCATAGTTTTGCCTTCCCTTTTCCCAAAGACAAGTCGTTGCTATGGTTACTGTCAGGTTGTCAAAGTATATGCTTCTCTTCTATACAACTCTATCAGCCGTCATATCTGAATTTACTCCCTAATGAAATCTTTTACACAATGTTACTATTATAAGTGCGAAAGTTTAGATGGATAGATGTTTGTTAGAAAGTATTTGCGGAACAACTCAACGGATCTCGATGAAATTTGTCATTTAAAACATAGCCTGGAAGAACTAAGCGACTTAGTAAGTTTTTTTTATAATTCTGTGTGGACGTAGTCGCGGCCAAAAGTTAATCTATCCATACATTCTTCAGCCTCCCTCTATCTTCTAGCTATTGCGATTTAACTTGAGTTATTACAGTCTCAAATCACATAATTGTGACGTCATTTTTACGTGTCATGTTCTAGTCCACGCGTATTCATGTAATGTAAGAAATAAAAAAACAATGATACTTTCGCATGTTACTGATCATTACGAGATAAATCTCCCATACTCGTATCTGTATATCTATTAACAACGACTTTTTGTAATTTCTAGTACATTATGTTACGTATCGTACCAGCGTAATCGTCGAGTTGAAGACTTGTAAACAACCAATGAAATTGAATTACAATCACTATTTAGCATATTTTAAAACTCAAAAAAGCCTATTTAGTTTGACTTACTACACAGAGAGTAGCACTAAAGGTAGGCGTCCATTGGCCCTCGCTGCACGCACGCAACGAGCTTTATTACTGTACTTTAGAACTATGATTTGAATTGCTGCGTCCATCATCTGCGCCGCCCGCATCGTAAGACAAAGCAAACCCGTTTTATCCGTGCGGTTCGTCCGGCCCAGGACAATGAACGCGTACCTTTAAGGTGTCATTGGTAAATTAAGGAACTACTTAAGTAATAATTAAACTAACTCTAGAGAATCGTAGCCGTACAGTCTAATGGGTAAAAGGTATTTGATAAGACTAGGAATAGGAGTAAACTTTAATTGTTTATAGAAAGTTAATATTGATTCCCGTAGCATTTAATTGAATTGTTCCACATAGCGATGCTTTTTGCACCTCCGTTCTATTCTAAATCTTGCTTTAATAACACCATCATTACTGCTCTTTGTCGGCATCTTTTAACACGATAGAAAAGATATAACCAACGATTTACGATTACCAACTGAATTATATGAAAACATCGCGAATTTTCATCGACGATATATACAAAAAAATTGCAATGTTTGTCTCATTTGTATGTATAAAAAAGCTGATTTTTAAAAATAATTAATGTTGGATTATTTTTTCTACTCGATTCCGTTCGTGCGGAATTATAAAAAAATATATGTGTTCCTTCAGACTACGTTCAGTATCAATGCCAGATTTCAGCGTAATTCTTTGAACCTTTCTGCAGATACCATGTTTTAGACTTTATTAGTTAGTATCCTTTGACGCGAATGGTGGGTTTTCATTACCAAGTCAAGTGTCAGATTGATTAATGAGTGGTCATAAACGTTGACATTTTAATAAGGCTAGTGTTGCGCCGATACACCAGCACATTGTCGGATCCATCCTTCCATCTAAACATTCGCATTTTTAATATTAGTAAGATAAATAAGAAGGTAATTAGGTTTTTGATCTCGAATTGTAATTACGTTGTTTATATATGTTCATTTTGCGATTCTATATTTTTTTTTCATTACCCATCCCGTCATACTTTCTCTGCTTTCGAGACCGTTTGTAATTAAGCGGACTCAGATAATTAAGTGTGTAACCACGCCTGTTCTGCCGACATTAACATCGTTATGAGCTTAGTCTTCCGTAAACATAACAGACCTCTTTACGTTGACTCCATGGTTATTCCATTATACGATTTGAATTAATTACCTATCTTAAACTTGTCTTCATTGTCATCTTTCTCTGGCGATATTTCCAAGGATGTATAACACAGGTTAAAGGAATGTCTGTTTTTCTAAGCAGTAATCTGTACTTCTTTGAATGCATATGGCAATTTGTGAGCTCTTTCATTGTATAAAACACATAATTTTACCACTGAAACGTCAATTACTGTTCCTTATGCTTTGAATCTTACCTATTTCTTTCTTGGAAATGCGAATGTTTGGATGATTTTTGAAACGGATCTCGATGAAATTTGGCATAAATGTGAACATAGTCTGGAAGAACATATAAGCTACGGGCAGGTAATTTTATTAATATTATAAATGTGAATATTTAGATGGACGGATGTTTGTTTGAAGTTAACTCTGGAACGGCTTAACAGATTTTAATGAAATTGGCTCAAATGTAGAACATTGTGGAATAAGACATAGACTACTATTTTTTTTTAACTCTGCGCGAATGGAGTCGCGGTCGACAGCTAGAATGACATAAGTAAACAAATAGTACGACTATGTTTAAACTAAAATTAATGTGGTGGACAGAGATATCTATTACAATCTGTAGCTTCAGACTACAAAACAAATGTATCGTTCCGGTATGCGCTTTGATTGGCACATACATAGCTTTTCCCGCGATTTCCCTCGCACCGCGTCTCATTGCAGTGCGCGCAAGCCGTCGCGCACATCGGTCCGTTTTTTTTTTAAATATAATGCATTTTGATATTAAAATACTAACGTACGAAAATAAATTCTTTATTGTGAAGTGTTTGTGATGTGAATATAGTATTTAAGTCAATATGTCACTGGATATAATGTTTTTGACAAACGACAATTTGCACCGCACGCGCAAAG